AAAAAGCATTCATTCGGTTAAATTTACTTCTCACATTTGAATTTTTACAAATGTGTGTTAATAAGAACTATAAATTTTAAAATCAAAATTTCGGGTAAACCATTACTCTATGAACTAAAAACTTATTAAATAAATGGTTTAAATACAATACATTTTGGTTTAATTAACTGAGATTGTGTTTTCTTTTTCCTTTAAGAAGAAATTTCATTCCCATACTGAACGGTAGATTTATCAGAATTTTTTTTCTCCACTTATAGAGAACTAAGCGAATGTATATTTGTGAATATATAAGTTTGAAATGCTTCATATTTAAAAATATTTATATCATATTTTACTCGTTAAACACTCAATAAACAATCATTAACGATGCAAAATCTCATTCTGAAAATTAATTGAAGCAGCTAGAGAACTCGGAATTTCTATACGTCAAGCGATCGAGAAAATTTTGTAACTCCACTAATTTCCTCTCAAAACTGAGTATATATTCATCTAAGTTTACAGATACTCTTTCGCTTGAGTGATACTCTAAATCTTAATTTTTAAAAACAATTTACAAGTTCGTTTTAATTGAATTATTAATGAGCTAATGAATTACTTGTCAGATTCTCTTAATCTGAAAAATTCGGTTCTCACACACACACACACATATATTGCATTAAGCCATGAAGCGAGTGATCAGCGAAGATGGCAGATCGAATCAGAATTTCTAATGATCTATTTGTAACGTAGCAGGCAGTCGATCGAAACTATTGAAATGGTGCCGCTCTCCATTCAAAACTTTAAGCTCTGGACGTGAACTGCAACGTATGTGTATGTCAAACAGATTTCTATGGTATTGTTAGAATGGGTAACAATTATAGAAGGATATAGAACAGAGTTTGTAATCTCATCAATATTTGAACTTTTACCATTTAAAAATATAATGATTAAATAAAATAAGAAACATTATCAAGACATTAAAATTCTTACTTAAAAGGTAATTAATACATTTTAATTTCAATTTCGTCATCATTTTTGTTGTTTTGTAGCTGTATATANTATATATTTATATATATATATAGATGAGAGAGTGTGAAGTAAACGGAAATTTTGCTATTTTCGCAGAATAAAAATTCCTATTAAAGTTACCTCACTGTACAAAAATGAAATTTCTGGTAAAGAAAAAGGACGTAATTCTTGTTAATAAAACCAAAATATACGGTATATAAACCATTTATTTTTCCGTTCATGTGGTAACGTTTTACTGAAAATTCCAGTTTTCAAAATTATAGTTCTTAATGCCGCACATTTAGAAAGAAATGCAAAACTCGAATTTAAATTTAACATAATTAATTGCTTAATTATAATGATAAAATCACCAAATTTTACCAAATTATTCAACTTTTATCACATATTTTAATTCTAATTTTACTAAAATCATAACCAAAGCACTTTGGCAGAAATTACTGAGATTATGCTGTTCTCATAGAGCAAGAAACACATTAAGTTTTACTATATTACTTAGCGGATGAAATTACTCAGATTTAGAAATAGTTATGATATTTTACTGCTGAATAATTCGTTTAACATTTAATGACTAACGATACTAAATCTCCTTCTCTAAACAATTTGAAATACCAAGACACATCCTACTTCTATACATCAAGCGAAGATAAAGACACAGTTATTTCTCTAATTTCCTCTCAAAACGGAATACATTCATCCAAGATTGCGGATACTTTTGCACTTGAATGATACGCAAAATCTTAATTTTTAAAACAATTTACAAGTTTGTTTAAATTGAATTATCAGCAAACTAATGAGAAGCTTATGAAATTCCCTTATATCTGGAAATTAGAGTTCTCATAACCACATCCATATAAAGCAGTTAACATATATCTTTCTGGAAATATCTAGAAGGTTTTCTCAGCAACATTTTGGAATCCCGGAAAATGCACATATAGAAGCTAAGCACGGGTGTGATAAGATTAAAGCTTCGCCCCCTTAATGCCGTTTATACCCTGTCAAGCGTAACTCATAACAGTACCTTAGAGAGCTGATGTTATTATGCATGAAATTGCAATTTCAGCCAATTACTTTGTTATCGCTAAAATACGCTGCATCTGGTTAAGCGTTCTGTGGCCAAGAATTTTACTAAAGATAGAGGTGTTAATTTTTATGACAGAGTTTTCATGATGCTAAAATCGATTTTTTCTTTATTTTTTGCGTTGTTAACTTACTACCGCAATGTTGAATTTTTCATAAAATTAACCAAAAGTGTAGATTTTTTTACTCAATTTATGCTTTTTTATTTATTAGAGTAAATTACTGGACCGTTACTCTTCTGGCAAGAAGAAAGAAAAAAAAATTGTAGTAAAATAATTTTATTTCGTACATATTTTTGGGGAATAAATTATCCGAGACAAATTATAATATTTTTGAAGAAAAAAATTTTTTTTATCGTATTATTCGTAAATTTTTTTTTCAAGTAAATGAATTTTGTAACCATTAAATACTCGTGGTAATAACTAATACTTTACTACTTTTACAAAAATGTAAGGTGTGTTATTTTGAGGTTGTTTTGAGGTGTTAAGTTTGTTTTGAGGTTTATTTGAAGTTGATTTCAAAAACAATTTTAAAAACTCAACTTTTTAAGGTTAACCAATGCGAATTAAATTGTTTTATTCTCACTTGAGCTTTTATTGAGTTTATATACTTGCAAATTTATATACTTGCGGTTTATTATTTTCTCCATATCAAGCAAATAAATAAATTTGTAGTGTGGATAATTTTACCCGAGGTCAACTACAAGCATTGCTGAGCTATACATGATTATAATTTTATGAGGTGTAAATGAGGGTGAAATTGAGTGTTTTGATGTGGTTATTTTTGGGGTAAAACATAACCTCATTTTCTACCTCAGGGCATTTTTTAACACCTTTTAACCACAAAAGAACCTCAACAACATGCTATTTTTTGTAAGAGAATTTCTAAAATGATATAAAAAAGAAACTGTTTTACTGGCAATTGCTTGCTCAATTCTGGATATGTTACATACCTTAAATACTAAGCTGACTTTCGGACACCGTGAAACTTTTCCGCATTTTGTTAATAATTTTGATGTAATTAAAAATTTAATTAAATTTTGAAACAGTATTTAAATTTGTCACTAAGTATATGGTCATTCATACTGAAGTTTAATGATTAAATTTAAAAGTGCATGAATAATTTTTGTGTACTGTATTATTTTTTGAAATAAAATTATTTAATGAAATTATTAAAAAAAAGGAAAATGTAGAGCTTTTCTAAAAAAATAATTCTTTAAATAATTATTATAAATTTAATTATTATAAATTTAGTATAAATTTAATTTAAAAAATAATTCTTTAAAAATTAGTCGTATAAATTATTTGAACTCTGAATTAGAACGCAAGAATTAGAACCCGGAATTAGAGCGCTCTACGACTACCGTTTTTACCGCGTATGTTTTTCCCCTAACTTATTACAATCTATTTTAGAATCTGAAAAATAATAATCCCTTTCCCTAACGTTTGCTTCATTGAATATTTTTGTTCAGAAAAATAAGAAGAAAAATCACAAGTTCAAAATTTGAATTCTTATTTTTTTATAATGCTTATAGGAAGGAATCTAAACACAGTTTTAATGAAATTAGTATGAATAAATCTATTTTTTAAGCCCTTAAGATTAAATTTTTACACAAACGAAATTTGAAAATTTCATTCTTTCAATGCATCACTTTTTGATAAGTTTGAAATTTTATTATTTTCGTAATGTTTCGAAAAAGAAATTATTATTTTTTTCTGATTATTAATAATATAAATTATTAATTATTAATGAATTATAAATATAAATTACGAATATAAATATAAATTATGTATATATACATTATAATAACTATAAATTTTTAATAGTTCAGTAAATGCTACATCCGGGACATATCTTTGAAAGACTTAAAATATGTATTTTGAAAAATGTTTCAAAATTAGGTATGGGATTCCTACACGTAATGTGGCGAAATTCCGATTCACGATTCACTTATTTTAAATGCGAATGTCGTTATTTAAATATAACTATTTATTTCCTGTACAAATTTTTAAATCCAAATGTTTCAGCTATTAACCATTTTAACCATTTCATGTGAATTTAAAAAAAAATTAAACCAAGAGTTTTTACAATGGTATAACTTTAATTGTATTTTATAGAACCAATCAAATCAGTTTAATATGTCAGTATCTTCAATGATACATAATAATATTTAATTTTATAAGTTTATATATGATTTTGCAACATATAATAAATCGAAAAGATTTATTTTTATTTAAAATATTAAGCTAACTATATCTAATTGAATAGCTTAGTGGATGAAGCAGGTAAGTGACATTTTCAGGAGAATTTATCAACAAGGAAAAATGCAAAAAGCGATCGAAACAATATGGGTACGTTAAATGCGCGATTAAAACAATATGGGTATGTTAAATGCGCGATCTAAACAATATGGTTATGTTAAATACGCAATCGAAACAATATGGGTATGTTAAATGCAACATAATTATTTTTGATATCACTCTTATTTTAACACAATTATTCCCTTTTCATACTTTTTTTAACACAATAATTTTTAAGTGTACTTTCACGATTTTTATTCATGATTGGGTAGTGTTAAATAAATTAACTAAAAGAATTATTAACCCATTTTTCTATTAAGTCTTTAAAAAAATAGTTCAGTCCCTGTTTTTTCTTCTTCTTACTCTAATTACAGACACTCTGAAAATGTCACATGGTTCATCCTTTCAGTTATTCAATTAAGCGACCTATATATTAAAATAAAGCTAGACAATATGAATAAAACACAAATAAAGCCATAGAAACAGGCATACAAAAGTTTCGGTCTGATAAATCTTTCTTCGTGTCTTTATTTGCTCTCATTGTCTAGCTTTATTTTCCTTTATACCAAAATGCATAACTTTTTTTTTAAATTGAAACCATTTATGTAATTTCAGGGATCCTAATGTGACACCTCATCAAGAGCTTGAAAGCTTAGCTTCCGACAGATCTCGAGGGAGATTTGAGAAATTCAAATGGGAGCAATATGATACAGTTCACCAAAAATACTTATCTATAGGTAAGTAACTTAAAAATTAGAAATTCATAAAATCTTTATTTAAATATCATACCGTAAACCGGGGCGAATCTACCCATTTTAGTTTTATTTAANAATTATAAATATAAATATAAATTACAAATATAAATATAAATTACAAATATAAATATAAATTACAAATATAAATATAAATTATGTATATATATATGTATATATACATTATAATAACTATAAATTTTTAATAGCTCAGTAAATGCTACATCCAGGACATATCTTCGAAAGACTTAAAATATGTATTTTGAAAAATGTTTCAAAATTAGGTATAGGACTCCTACACGTAATGTGGCGAAATTCCGATTTACTTATTTTAAATGCAAATGTCTTTATTTAAATATAACTATTTATTTCCTGTACTAATTTTTAAACCCAAATGTCTCAGCTATTGACCATTTTAACCATTTCATGTGAATTTAAAAAAAAATTAAACCAAGAATTTTTACAATGGCATAACTTAAATTTTATTTCATAGAAGTAATCAAATCAGTTTAATATTTCAGCATCTTCAATGATACATAATATTTAATTGTATAAGTTTATATTTGATATATAATAAAACGAAAAGAATGCACTATTTTTATTTAAAAAAATTAAACTAACTGTATCTAATTGAACAGCTTAATGGATGAAGCAGGTAAGTGGCATTTCCATGAGAATTTATCGACAAGGAAAAATACAAAAGCGATCGAAACAATATGGGCATGTTAAATGCACCATAATTATTTTTGATATCACTCTTATTTTAACACAATTATTCCAATTTCACTCTTTTTAACGCAATAATTTTTAAGTGTATTTTCACAATTTTTATTTATGATTGGGTAGAGTTAAATAAATTAACTAAAAGAATTATTAACCCATTTTTCTATTAAGTCTTTAATAAAATAGTTCAGTCCTTATTTTTTTTCTTCTTACTCTAACTATGGACACTCTGAAAATGTCACATGGTTCATCCCTTCAGTTATTCAATTAAGTGACCAATATATTAAAATGAAGTTCGATATTACGAATAAAACACAAATAAAGCCATAGAAACAGGCGTACAAAAGTTTCGGTCTGCTAAATCTTTCTTCGTGGCATTATTTGTTCACATTGTCTAGTTTCATTTTCCTTTATACTAAAATGCATAACTTTTTTTTAATTGAAATCATTCATGTAATTTCAGGGATCCAAATGTGACACCTCATCAAGAGCTTGAAAGCTTAGCTTCCGACAGATCTAGAGGGAGATTTGAGAAATTTAAATGGGAGCAGTATGATACAGTTCACCAAAAATACTTATCTATAGGTAAGTAACTTAAAATTAGAAATTCATAAAATCTTTATTTAAATATCATATGTGCACATAAAATGATAAAATAAAAATTAGTAATAATAATTAAATATTTGAGGTTTGCGAATTTAAAATTCATTTTGGAATCTAAATTGGATCTCAAAAAAATTTTTTTTAAAGAGGGAAATTAAAGAAAAAAATTTAAAAGATTAAAAAGAAGAAGCTTGCTCTGAAATGGAAAATATAAGAATATGTTTCTGATAAAGGGGAAAAAATAAAAAAATGAGAATTTTCGCTAAGATACTGAACTAAAAAATTTGTTTTCTTAAATAATATAAAAGAAAGATAACATATTTTCAACAAGCAAAAGAAAGAAAGCATTTCTAAAGGAGGTAAATATGGAAAATATATTTATGGAAAATATAATTTACATTTATCTAACAACTTTGTCGACACATATTTGAATATGTTTTCGACTAAAGTATATGAAACTACTTCAAAGATGAAATAAGTTAATTGCATTGACTATAGCTTACGCCGCAAAAAGTAAATAATTTGCACAGTGTTCAGTATCTTATTCATGTATTAAACTATAGAAAGTATTATGGATATGGTTGTAATAAATAAGTAAGTATAGCTGTCAAATTTCTCTTATGTTTATATTTTATCAACTATTTTATATGATTTAGCAAAGCCCCTTAACTCCATCTACATAAAAAATTGTCATTTAAGCTACCCGAATACCCTTTTAAACCAAAATTGAAACAAACTTTAGATTTTATCTTTCAATTTTTTCCTCGGAACAGAATTTATAGTAATTTAAAATATAGTTTATCCGATATATTTATATATAGTTAGGCCGATATATTATTGCTTAACTGTTCAGCCAAAACTACACAAAAACTTCTTATAGCAACTTTCTTTTCAAGTTTAGTTGTTTCATCCTTATTAAATGATAGCATCATAAACCCCGTTGACCTGAGTTGTGCATAAATACTTCATTTATATGCTTGCTTGGAGAATAGGTTATGCATTAGTTGATCAAACTATGAATTTAAAATTTATCACCAAGTATAACCAGTTGTTTTTCAATGCTTTTTTAATTTCTATGTAGCTGTAAGTAAATTAAATGTCACTATTATGTCTTGCTCTTGGGTTATTTATGCTTCACATTTACAATTACTACTGAGCGAACAAGCAGAAAAATTATAATTTGTTCCAAAATTATGTGCTATAAAAATGTCGCCATTTTTCACCACCTATATTTTGAATAAACTTTTTTAGTGTTTCAAAGCATTTATAACATGGTTCATGCATAATGCATCGAGAAACGATGGCTCAGAGGTTAAAGCACTGAATTGTCAGTTAGGAGAACGTAGGTTCGATTCCCAGTGCTGGCTTGAAGCCCACCTAGCTTCACATTGATGAGTATCAGCCAGTCTCACTAAATTGACAAAATCAGGCTGTTGATCATAAAATTATGGTGTCTTAGCTCCTTAAAAGGAATAGTTTGCAACAAAATTATATACTTTAAAAAATTTCATTTCAAACGATTTTTGACCATTTTGAACAATTTTTTTTTTATTGTTTTAATGTATTAACACTATATTTCGTGCACAGTATACTGCACCGCGATTATTCAGTGGCTAAAGCACGGAACTATCATTATGAAGAACTTGAGTTAGATCCCAAGTGGTGACTTGAGGCCCACCTAGCATCATATAGATGGGCACCAACTTGTCTCACTATATTGCCACAATTAAGCTGTTGCTAATAAAATTGTAGAGTTTTGGCATCCCTGACTCAAGGCTGTAGCGGTAACGTTTTACATAAATCAAAATTAAATTAAAATTAGAAAATTTGGATTTTCAAGGTATTCGAGTTGCCAAAATTATGCTGTTGGTCATGAAATTGTGAATTATTGATTCCCTAATCCACAACGGGATGCTGAGAGAATGCTTAATGTATATAAATCAAAATAAACTTAAAATTAGGTTGTCCAAGTTATTCGGGTTTCTAAAAATATGTTCAAAGGATTTTTTTTATAGAAATAAGATTGTCAATATTATGGAGTTTACATATGAATAAATATTTCCAGGAATGAAGCCAAAAATCAGAGACCATTACAGAGCTCATCGTCTTTCTTTCTGGTTGAATCTCATTCCTCAACTTCACCGTCCTGGCACTACATCAATTATTCCACAACATCACTTATTAGATGACCATAACAATCCACTTACTTACGATGGTTATGTTAGACCCTTAACTGACACCGATGGAGTTACAGTAACGTTATCAGGACCTTTTATGGGTGGTGTTCAATTCCCTACATCCACTGAAAAGCCTTCACTAAAAAATTTAAGTGTGTTTAGTACTGTAGCCTATCAAACAACGGATTCATCTATGAGAACAGTTAAAACTCTGAATGCTGGCGAAACTACGAATAACTTCACAGATCATCATTCGGAATTCATTCCAGATTCTTCCTATTCTACGGCTTTAAGTGTGACTATAGCTGTGGGCACGTCTCTCTTGGTTCTTAACATCCTCATTTTCGCAGGTGTTTACTATCAACGTGATAAAAATAGAATGGAAATGAAGATGGCTAAAAGAAATTTTAAGGTAACTTATTTTTGTTATAGACACTAATGTTATTTCACTGTTAAAAATTACGATAAAAAGGAACAGCACTTAAAGTGTCAGTTCTTTTTACCGTAAAATCCACTTTTACCGGAGCACTCTTAGAAATAAAGCTCTCACTTTTGACGATTCGGTAATCCTTGAGCTGTATTTCGTTAATTTTGAGAATAATTTTCTCACGAAATCACATGTAACAAAAGGCGAACCCTGAAATAAATAACGAAAATCTTTCCTCAACGTGGGATAATCATAGAAGTGAATCACTAGAATGACGGAACTAGATAATTGTAAATATTTGGTTTTCAATATGAGCGTTCACATAATTTTAAATATTTAAAAATGATTTTTAGAATCCTACTTAACTAATATTTACTTAAGTAATTTTTTGTTTTGTTTTTAAGAAGTCTTCTTCGGTTTCTTCTAAGATCAGAAAACAATAATCTGTCTATTTTATTGAGGAAAATATGTCCCGGGACCTGAGAAAGTCCAATGCATTCTTCTGTCAGAAAATGGAGCTCGCCTTTTTTGGATCAATGAAATAGAAATTAAAAAAACCCTCAATCTGCACCTTTTTTCGTAACAAATAGGCGTTTTATTTTGTGGGTTTTATAAAACAGAATTTTATATATTGAAGAAATCATAGTTTTTTCTTCTGTTAGTTAATTATTTTAAAACGACAACTCATGCAGCTTGAGCAAAAAATCGTTTCAATTATTTAAACCTTGTTTTGATGAGGTTAAAATAATAAGAAACCAATGCATTACTTTGAATAAATATTTTTACTTGCAGTTAAAATTTAAAATATTTTCCATTGTTTCGCCCGTGAGAATTTATTTTTTTTTGAACAAATTATTTGCATTAGCTGTCTTATCAATAAAAATATCAAATGTATATTATTGTAATATATATTTTGCATTTTAATTGTTCTTTCAAACTTCAAGACACCATATTTTAAAATCATACAAGTTTGCTACAATATATCGAGTAACACATAAAGATTTCAAATAGTCTGACTCATTATGTTTTCATTGGTTCTGTGATTAAATATTTCTTCTCAGTGTTAAAGGAAACGAAAGTTATTACTTGAGTGTACCTTAAACACCAAGCTAAATACTAAAATATGTTATTACGATTGTCTTACATTTGACATTTAAAATAGTGAAAAATAAATTAAAGTAAACCAATAAAATAAACATGTGATATATAGATTCGTAAAATGTTTCTTTTAAAAAGAAATCCAGGAAAATAAAATTTAAGCAAATTTTGTTACAGAATATAAAATGAAAAACTAGAAAGCTGCAGTTCTTTAATAATTTAGGTTCTATAATTAAGAATATGACACTCAAAAATATTTTTAAAACTAAATAAGTATATTTAATCTATAAGGTAACATAAATTATTCAAATAAACTTAAAAGCCACTTAATATTGCATTGAAGTAGATATCATCTTAAAATTGCATGGTAATTTCATTTAATTTCAGCTGAGATAGTAAAATATAAAAAAGAATAAATATAAAGTTTTTATTTCAAAATGCTCAATCTCAAAATAAATAAAGACGGTAAATATGATGTACTTCGAATTTGTCTAATTGATTTTTTTCTTGCTTAAACAGTATGAAATTTTAATTATTTAATACCATTTTATTAGATTAGTTTAAAATAAGCAATCAGAAATGCAAATGAAGAGTAATTACAAAAAATTTATCTCTAAACATTTTATATTAGTTAATTATAAATTATAATTGAAAATGTAAACTTTATTTGCTTATACTTTTAAATTTAATTACGCTTCTCAAAAAACAACAAATATAAAATTCATAATCATGATATTATAAATTTGAAATATTTTTCAAAATATAAATAACTGAAAAGAATCATTATGTTTAGTGAAAAGAAAACTAATTTAAATATGTGCATGTAATAAAAATGAAAAGATAGCTATAGTTGTTATAGTTTAATAATGCACCGTATAACAGGAAAATTTAAACATTTCCTTAAAATAAACTCGATTTTGGCGAAACTGAAAATATTTAATAACTGTTTATTTTAAATAATTCAATATATTTATGCTGTTAAAATAATTACTGCTTGTGCTTTTATTTTAAAAATGCATTAGTGTTTTAGACACTCTCATTTAAGAAAAAAAGTTTTAAAGCTTTTCAAAAAAAGTCATATAAAACATTTTTTGGGCCAAATGATGTACATACCTTATCCCAAAGAGCATAAAGTGATCATTAAATAAAAGTATAATATTGCAGTACTAACCACAAAGAGCATTAACATTCAAAATAAGGGATTTCATGTGTGGCAATTGTGATATAAATACCGTATAATAGGGCAAAGAGTTTGTAATAATAATGGACAAGTGTCATTATCGGAAATGAGAAGAAATTAAGTTTTTATTTCGTTTCGAAATTTAGTTTTTACTATAAATTTAGTTTTCAGAAATTAGTTTTTATTTCGGAGTTCATCATTCAGAACCCGACATTTTGCGTCTAGATATATGAAGGGTTGAGACAAGTATAGTTATAAGCTCAAATTTTCCTGAATGGGACATTTATTACTATGCTTTTCCTTAAGATTGTTTCCAGATATTTATTTTAAAAGTTTCTGGAATTTCCACTTGATAACAGAAGAATACACTGAAACAACTTGTTGCCCAAACAGAAATCGTTATTTTTTTTAACAAAATATCTTGGAATGAAATTTGAGAGTGAGGGTTAGCATTACATTGCCCTAAACTCTTCACATTTATTTCCTTTCTTCTTCTTCGTAAGAGCTCCAGCCAGTAACCGGGTCATCTCAGTCATTTTACCCCATCTAGATCTATTAGATGCTACTGTTCAAAAATTTCACATATATCTGGAGCAATCAAAATATTTTACTGATTACGAACATAATATATTGAGATTTTTTCATTTCTTATTGATTTTTAAGTGTTTTCTGTAGCCTGATAATTCAATAATTTAATTAATAAACTAAACTAAATATATTTTAATCTATTAATTTATCATATATTAAATTGTAACAACCAGTACTAATTATTTTATTTGAATAATTTATGCATTTTTTGTTAATTGTCAAAATTTTTAAATATAAGCAAATGTTAAATTGTATTTTTAAGTTAAACAAATTAAATAAATGAATAAATGCAAAATATATGCACTATTACATTTTAATCAGCATTTATTATAATTTGAGATAATTTGACTGTAACAGCCATAATTTTCTTATTAATATTTGCCTGAACTAACGATATTTATATATGCTTCACAATTCAAAAATAATGTTCCCATTTTCTAAAAACAGATCTCAGAAAACGACTTAAATAAAAATCGTCCATCTTGCTCCCTGTACGATGGAAAGAGTAACTGTTTTAGCCGTACTCAAGAAAATAAATCATGAGTGAGCTTTTAGCTCCAATAGACACTTACGAAGTCAAAACATTTTTCAGTGTTCCAAAATTACTGATAAAATGGTATGGTTCTTTTATTTATGCCTCACTAGAGCTGTGTAATGGGCAATTGGCAGTGATCTGGGAAGCAACCCTGAGAACAATCCGGAGGCAACATAAATACGTCACATCCCTTTCTACAAGGAGGTCACCATCACACGCCATTCACCATGCTCATAATATTGATCTGAACCAGAGAACGATCCATCTCCGATTCAGCACTCCTCAGAGGAATTGATTTGTTATGGGGACTTGGAGGACTTTGTGACCCTGACAGATTTAGCTTGCATCAGCCACCATTTTGTACACGGGTAGATATTGGCCGGCGGAGATCGAACTCACGACATCTCGATCATGGGTCCAATGACCTACCAACTAGGGTATCCCGGCCTTGCATTACTATAGAAAAGCTGCGCATCAATTACAAGCACCGTATTGCAATTATGATAATCATTGAGTTTCACCAATAGAGCTTTTGATAAACGATTTTCTGAACAATCTGAGAATGTGGCTTGTTATTACTATTACGTAGACTTTTTATTAAATTATCTAATTATCTTAATTAGGTAGAAATAAAATATTGCATTGTCGGTTACGATTGCAATAATACATCCACTTCTTTTTTTTTGTTTTCTTCGGTAATAAATTTGTAGAAAAGGAAAAAAAATATTTAATTTCAGTTATTAAAATCAAACGTATGGTATTTAAACTATTCATTTGGTAATATTTCAGCTCATATGGCAACAATCAAACTAATGATCCGATTTTCCCAACTATAGTTTTTATTACCACACATTTTGCAAAAATACAAAACTGAAAATTACAAAAAAGCCAAGTAAATAGTTTTTATACCGTGCTTTCAGATGTGATAAAATTACCAAATTTTACCTCATTATCTATTGAGTTTGCATGTATTAATTGTACGAACAAATTTTCTCACTTATTTTTTGTTTAATTTCGAAATAATTCATTGTAAACAACTTAAAATTACAATTCCAAGCAAAATGCATGAAATAAGGGAACCAACACAAAATTTAAGACTTTTTTTCCTCCAATTTGTGTTCATTAATATTCATAATAATTTAACTTACAATAAACATCAATTTCCTAATAACACTTATCTGAAGTGCGTACTTCGCAATTCATAAATTTTTCTTCTAACTTCCATTAAAGATTCTTTATGCTTGAAGCAGATTTCAATAAATAACTTAAACAAACGAAAATTGTACATCTTGCTTTCTGCACCTTAGAAAGCTTAACGATTTTAGCCGTAAACTCAAGAAGATAAATTCTAATCGAAGCTTCTAGTTCTCATCGACACTTGAGAAGTCAGAAAACTTTAAGTACTTCTCATTTAGATAACTGTAAGCCCTAGGGAAATAAAAGGGACTAAATCAGCTTTTGTTTTACTGTTCTAATTTTCCCCAGTCGAAATTGAGTCTGAAGTTAACCACTTACAAAGAAGAAGAAATAATGATTTGAGTCGATTTTCAGGGAATGGTGATGATGGTTATATAAGGTCAACTT